AGCGCCCCTGCCGCTGCAGCCCGGGTTCATTACAGGATTGCGTCAGGAAGGGCATCTGGCCTAAAGCACATGCCAAAGTTCAACATGCAAATCCCCAGTGTGACGACCCGCTGTGGTAAGTATCTTATTTTAACATAAAATAAAAGGAAAAAAAACTTTATTTAAAATCATGGGAAATTACTGTACTTACTGTATATAAGATGGTTATTTTCCATAATTTTTTGATAATTTTCTGTCACGCCAGCTGCCAGAATTTTACTGTTTTTATGCTTCTTTTTTTACAGTGTTTGGTATTTGACAGTTGCCACTTACATTACAGTTTCATGCCGTCATTTGGCAAAACTAAAAATTTAAATCCCTGTCTTCAGATTTATACTGTATTATCAATGTTATTTTCACAGAATGAGACAAACATCTTCCTACATTTTAAATGTGCTTCAGCAAAATATGAAGATGAATAATGCAGAGAAAGACAGGTTTTACCCTCCAGACTCTTCAGAAACTCTGGTTGTACATGTTTGTCCAGCAGTCGGATCTCAGCCATTTTCTCTTCCTCCAGCAGCAGCTTCACCAGGCTCTTTCCCAGGAATCCACAGGCTCCTGTCACCACACACACATCACCCCTCAGAGACATTGCAGGGTGATTCTCTCTGGGTATCGGGGACACACACAAAACAAAAACCCAAACAAAAAAACCCCAATCCTGTGCAAAAGTCTTTAGAGGGCTCTCAAGAGCCTTTGTAAAAGGAAATCTCAAAGTGACAACAAAGAATACAGCTGTTGGAAGTTTCGTTTTCAGTGTGTAAGAGGACAATAGCATCTCCTGCCGTCCCAGCCTCAGCCCTTCTACCTTTTATAATCTTGGAAATGTTCCTTGAAAAAACAATTCATTCCCCCAACGCAGTAAAGGCGTAAGGATGTGTTACTTCATGATGGACTGTGGTGGTTTGTGGAGCCAGACAGTCAAGGACAGTTGCTATAACCTTCTATTTAAAAAGATAATGTAAATACTCAGGAAAACAATAAGTATCTCAGTACTGTACTTGAATACAATAGCTGAGTAAATGTTCTTTGCATCACTATTCATGTACTCTGTCGTTTCATTTTGTCTACACTGTGTGTACAGCCCAAGTTAAATCTTTAACTTTACACATTTATAATTTTTTATTTATTCAAATACTGTACAAACACTTGTGCTTCATTTGAGCAATCCCATTTTATGCTCATTTATACTTCACTGCATTTCAGAGGGAATGCATCTACTTCTTACCTTTTAAGAACACTTTGTAAAATTTTAATCTTTGTCTTCAAAGTGAGCTGAAACAACTGAAGACAAAATGGCATAGCTGCTGGGATGTGACTTTACATGGTCAGAACTCTTTAATGCTTGGCTTAGAAATTCAGATGAACAGTTTTACAGGGTTCCTTCAAAAAGGCAGACGAGTATATTGGCTCTGTGTGTCAGTAAAACACGCTCCAGAGGGAAGCTCAAGGTTAGATGTGCTAAATAAAACAAAGTTTGACATCTCAAAGTGATATGGGTCCACCAGATGGTCCGATATGTTTTCCATTTCACAGTGATGAATTTCAGCTGGCCTTGGTTTCCTCAGTAAATGGTACACTGGGTCATATAGCTGTGTGCTGGAAACTCTGAGTGTTGTAGGGTTTTTCTGTGAGTGTCACCTTTTGCTTATGGGCACTGCCTCTAACCTCTGAGTTCTTACCATACACACTTCAGTTTAAGCAGGAGCCCAAAACATTGTTTCTTGGTGTTAAGTAACAGTATTATAGTTCCCTCAGGAGTTTTACAGAGGATCACAACAAAGCTCAAGTCCTTCCCCTCCCCTTCAGCCAACTCTGAGTGCATGTTTGAAACTGTTATATGGGGGAAAAAAAAAAAACAATAGAGAAGCAGAACTCTTAACTGCAGCCCATTTACCCACCACCAGCAGTGTGATGTAGGCCGTCAAAACACACTGTCTGCAGGAACAAAGAGGTGAACAAGGAGAGCATTATTTTTATTATGTCTACAGAAAACATATTAGCTGTTGCAAAGTAACTGTATATGAACATCACCTCTAGGACACAGGGCGATGCGTATGAAAGGTCGAAGCATCGTGCACAGAATGTCCAAAAAGAAACAGGCTACATAGAGGAGACAGAACGGCAGTGGGAGCTTCTCTTGAATGCTGAAGCCCAGAGGTGACATCAAGACATGGTTAAGGTCCGAGTAACTTATGGGTGGTGTGTCATCAGAAATGAAATACAACTTTCCTCCAATAACATTTCTCTTTTGTGGATCTTTGAGGCAGCGAGCTGCTTGGAGGTGAGCCACAGCTACGTTGCCCACATAGACAGGATTCACCCTGGCCTCTGCTCGAGAGGTACGATACAAAACATTTTTGTTTCGGATCCCGTCACGCATATGGCCCAAAAGGAAGTGACTGTCCTCCCCATAGATGTACATGGGCCTGAGGGCGCAGGTGGCCAGTTGGCCTCCATTTTGAAGCACCTCACTGTTAGCCTGCAGGGTTCTCTGCTCAGCCTCCTTTTTGGTCTTGCTGTAGGAGAACTTCAGAGTGCAGTCGTAAACTGTGTCCTCACTGCCATAAAATATGGGTTCACCCCTGGAGTTTGGTCCCATCACTTCAATGCTGCTGGTGTAGATGAAGGACGCCACATTCTCTTGAATACATGCCTCTAGAAGCAGCTGTGTTCCTGCATAACAAAACACTAGAGTTTGCCAGAGTTCATGTAAGATAAATATAACCTTCATTTTCTGTCAGTGCAATCTCAAAGATAGGACAAACCTTTTTTTCCGGTGACATCAAGAAAGGCATCAGATTAAAATGAAGACTAACATGTGAGACCTCCTCCTGTTCTGCATTGGGCCATTTTAACATTCAGGTCAAGGACTGTAGTAAAAAAATTAGAAAAGCTACAAGAGCTGCTGAATCAGTTATGCTAATAAAATAGAATAATAAAATATAAATACTGAAAAATTTGGAAGCGGATTTAATCACAGACCCATAATAGAATAATAATTAGAATATGTTCCAAACGTTTGGTTTCACCGTCATAAATTTATCACTCATTTCATGGGAAGCTGAAGCTGCTGAACTCGGCGTCCTATCAACTATTACTCAAAGGAAAAGAGGAACCGATTTACTGAAATATAGCTTAACGTTCTGTTGGTAAAAACTGCCCAAATGTTGCAAAACAATAGTCAGTGACATGAATAACTTCAGGTGAAACTCAGTATAATGTTGTACTTGAAACACTTAAAAGAAATTATAGTGCAGGTTCAAACAGAAATGCTGAAAGAAGTCAAAGTGGCAGTTACAGCAAAAATTGTTGATAGGAATTTAAATGTAAATGCTGAATAATTTAATAAAGTATTGTTAAGATGTACACACTCACAGGAGTCTTTAGAGTAAAGTGCTTAAAGGAGAACGTCATTTGAAGTGTAAGCACTAAAAGATGTTAGTTTACATCATGTCATATGTAAAGAAGTTAATGTCAATTTAAATATAAGCAGTGAAAGCAGCTGAAGTGTCAACCACAGTAAGCGATAAAAGCTGTTCAAAATGTCACTAGCAGCCTAATGTTCTGAAGAAGGTTAGTTGAAGTGCTAGTACTGAATAGAGCTGAAGCATCAGCAAGAAAGCAAAATATCTTCAACACTGAGTCAAGAAGGTAAAATAATTCAAGAATTTTATTATATGTGGGAGTGAGAGAAGTGTGTAGTGGATTAAACTGACAGCCTTGCCTTTGACATTGACCCCATAAATCTCACTCCACTTCACAGATTCAGTCACGTCAATGATGGCTGCAGTGTGGAAGACGACCGATGCACCTCGACAGGCTTCTCTCACAAAATCACAGTCCCTGATATCGCCCTCGAAAACATTCAGTTTTGTGTCACTTCTACAATCTGACACAAAGCAAATCAAGAATAAAGTGTCATCAGTTAACACAAAATAAGACACTCAGTTGTCAGTTTATTAGGTACACCTCTCTCAAACTAAGTCAGTCTAATCCAACAATCCTGCAATAAATCCTCCTTCATGAAGGTGATTAATTTGAGTTTGTGCTGAATTGAACTGTATTCTATTATTTTGTCAAATGAAGAATGGATGTTTGTGAAACTACAATGAATGCTCACTAATATGACTTTACATATTTTCTAAAATTAGCAGTATATATTGTCAGTGGGGTCTCTGATGGACTAGTGGCTAGTGTGACGACCTGCTGCAGCCCGGGTTCATTACAGGATTGCGTCAGGAAGGGCATCTGGCCTAAAGCACATGCCAAAGTTCAACATGCAAATCCCCAGTGTGACGACCCGCTGTGGTAAGTATCTTATTTTAACATAAAATAAAAGGAAAAAACCTTTATTTAAAATCATGGGAAATTACTGTACTTACTGTATATAAGATGGTTATTTTCCATAATTTTTTGATAATTTTCTGTCACGCCAGCTGCCAGAATTTTACTGTTTTTATGCTTCTTTTTTTACAGTGTTTGGTATTTGACAGTTGCCACTTACATTACAGTTTCATGCCGTCATTTGGCAAAACTAAAAATTTAAATCCCTGTCTTCAGATTTATACTGTATTATCAATGTTATTTTCACAGAATGAGACAAACATCTTCCTACATTTTAAATGTGCTTCAACAAAATATGAAGATGAATAATGCAGAGAAAGACAGGTTTTACCCTCCAGACTCTTCAGAAACTCTGGTTGTACATGTTTGTCCAGCAGTCGGATCTCAGCCATTTTCTCTTCCTCCAGCAGCAGCTTCACCAGGCTCTTTCCCAGGAATCCACAGGCTCCTGTCACCACACACACATCACCTCTCAGAGACATTGCAGGGTGATTCTCTCTGGGTATCGGGGACACACACAAAACAAAAACCCAAACAAAAAAAACCCAATCCTGTGCAAAAGTCTTTAGAGGGCTCTCAAGAGCCTTTGTAAAAGGAAATCTCAAAGTGACAACAAAGAATACAACTTTTGTATTCTTGGAAGTTTTGTTTTCAGTGTGTGAGAGGATGACAGCACCTTCTGCCGTCCTAGCCTCAGCCCTTCTACCTTTTATAATCTCTGAAATGTTCCTTGAAAAAAGTAATCACTTCCCCCAAGGCAGTAAAGGCGGAACAGCGCTGCTACTTCATGATGGACTATGGTGGTTTGTGGAGCAAAACAGTCAAGGACAGCTGTTATAACCTTCTATTTAACTGGGAAAAACATAGTATTAAAAGGCTGAACAGACTCAGCATGTGATAGAGGAGAAAACCAAGACATGAGCTGAGTGTTATTGGGTCCATTTTACAGACATCTTTTACATATATGAAACGAATGAGATGAAATAACTGATACTCAGTGGTAGAAGTAATACGACCTTTAACTTAAGTAAAGGTTGCAGTATGTGAGGCGTGTTCTTTTTATATTGAAAAGAGAAGACTAATAAGAGGATATATATTTCACAGTGTGAAATTTATTATGCATTAACGTATCAAAATTAGCATGTGCACATGGATCTTCACTGTTTAGGATAAACAGAAAACACTGACCTCAACTTAGTGGTATACAATATTTGTATTAAAAGGTGCTACTATCTAATTGGTCCAAAACTGTTGGGGACATTGCTTTCCGTTTCACTTAATTAAAACTGTTCTGCCTGCGTGTGTGTGTGCATAACTGTTCTTCCTTTGAAGCTTTCTCATCTACGTCTAATCTATTTTAATAAACTTGGAGCCTTACCGTACCAAGACTCCTTTGGGTCCACCGGTCCAGAGGAACGATAAGTAACTATGAGCCCCCTTAGCTACAGCCATAAATCTAATGAAATTCAGTAATTTAGTGGACAAGACTTATGATGTTGCATTAGTGTTTCAGTGACTCACACAGCAAATATTTGACCAGTGGTTCAGTGACCACATAGGGTGATATTCATAACTATATAAACATAACTGTGACATATAAGTATGTAAACTTATGTGTGCTATAAAATAAAACCATTCTTAAGTGCATAAAATAAAAATTACCCTAACAAGTACTACAAAAGAAACTTCATTGACATGTACACACACATTAACCAGCATTGCCAAAGTAGAGCTAGGTTTAACGTGCTGTCGGGCAGTTCATTCTATAACTATTCATATTTTTTAAATGAGCTGATGTTTTACCTAGAATCCAACAAGCAACCAACAGCTACCAGATAAATACAGTGAGGTACCCATTCCCTCTGAAATGCAATGAAGTATAAATGAGCATCAATGGGATTGCTCAAATAAAGCACAAGTGCTTGTACAGTATTTGAATAAATAAAAAAGACAAATGTGTAAAGTTAAAGATTTGACTTGGGCACAAGGTGCTGCACACACAGTGTAGACAAAATGAAAGAGTACATGAACAGTAATGCAAAGCATATTTACTCATATTGTATTAAAGCACAGTACTGAAATACTTTCCATTTTCCTGAGTATTTATGTTATCTTTTTAAACTGCTATATGTACATACAGTACATGCAATACAATGTGCAACGGGTCAAAGGTCAAAGTGTTTATTTGTCATATGCACAGTTAGGAAATGTATTTTTCTGTACAATGAAATTCTTACTTTGCCATCCACATAAATGCCACACAATACAAATGAAATATAAAGTGAAATATTAAGTAGTATTGGTTAAACAAGCATAACTGACACAGTGTTTATTGTATTGTTTATTTGCAGTTTTTACCGTGATGTTATATGCAGAGTAGACAGTATATGTTTTGATCTTGCTACGACCTCTTCATTGACTATGGTTTAACTCGGTGTTAAGTCAGAGTATCAACACGCTGCACAAGAACACTAAAGCTACCATAGCAGACAGTGATGCAGCTGGTCAAGATGCTCTCAATGATGTAGCTGTAGAAGTTGCTGAGGATCCTAGGTGACATGCCAAACCTCTTCAGCCTCCTCAGGAAGTACAGCCACCGTTGGCCCTTCTTGACCAGCTGTGTGGTGTTAAGTGTCCAAGTGAGGTCCCCACTGATGTGGATTCCCTGGTATTTGAAGAAGCTCACCCTCTCCACTTTAACCCCCTGGATGAACAGTGGCCGATGAGATCTCCTCTCCTTCTTCATGTCCACTATCATCTCCTTCGTCTTGTCCATGTTGAGGCTGAGATTATTGTCCTTGCACCATGATCCCAGACTGCCCCCCTCCCTCCTGTAGGCTGCTTCGTCCCCGCCAGTGATGCGACCTATCACTGCGGTGTCATTCGCAAACTTTAGGATGATGTTGTCTTTGTGGGAGGCGACACAGTCGTGGGTGAACGGGGTGTAGAGGATGGGACTGAGGACACATACCTGTGGGGTGCCAGTGTTTGTAGTGATGCCGACTGAAGTCCTATTGCCAATCCTGACAGTCTGGGGCCTGCCAGTCAGAAAGTCCAGGAGCCAGTCACAGAGGGTGGGGTGCAGACCCAGTGTGGACAGTTTGTGTGGGATAACTGTGTTGAAGGCACAACTGTAGTCAATGAAGAGTATCCTGATGTAAGAATCTTTATTTTCCAGGTGAGAACGGGAATGGTGGAGGGCAGCCACGATAGCATCTGAGGTGGCCCTGTTGGCCTAGTAGGTATACTGCAGGGGGTCCAGGGTGTCCGGTATACTGCTCTGGATGTGGGCTAGCATCACTCTCTCAAAACACTTGATAATGATTGGGGTGAGTGTCAGGATCGGCATGTAAAGCTGCTGATAATGTCAAGGGGTGAACTCAATTATAAGGCCAGACGAGGTTTAGCAGAACACCGTCTCTTTAAACATGATTTATGATAAATGTGATGCTACTTTTGCTACAGCTTGGTCTATGCTTCCTCTTTTTGGATTAGTTTTGCCTCATCACCTTTCAGCCATTATTCATTCCACCTGCTGCTCATTATCACTCATTATATATATACACCCTTATTTCCGCTTAGTCCTCACTGGATCATTCTCGACTTCACGCCTACATGTACAGAGTTTTGTGCCAGGTTCTCTCGCTTCTGCCATGTCTCTTTCACGACTACACACCATAAGATTATTCCTGCATTCACCCAGTATTTCTGCTTTTGGTTTTGCATGGTTTTTTTGTTTGCTATAGCCCCTGTGATATCTCCTGTTGTTATGAGTTGTCACTTGATGCTACCTTTGGCATCTGCAGAATTTCCCGATCTCCCTGTAACATACTGCTCCTGAGTGCTGTGTCCGTCCTCACCAGTTAAGAATCCTGATCTCCTGGTAACATGTTGAGCCAGCATGCACTGTTTGTCATTACCTGCACTCGGAAGCGTGCTGCTTCCGAGTGCAGTGTTGGTCTTCATATCCATTACTGCATTCACTTGTGACTCACTCTGACTCTTCGAACCTCTGCTGTGTGACTTTAGTGTCATCTGTGGCACTCCTGTGTGTATCTGTACCGTCATTGGCATCCACATCATCTCCCCCAAATCCTCTTCAGTGTCTCTGAGATTCGGTGGGTTACCTGCCACCACTTGCCGACTCCCGGTCCTCTGGTCCTCCTGGTTCTTGCCTGACCTGCCCCCAGTTCCCTGCTGCTCATCCTGCCAGCCAGAAACGGCTCAGCCTCTTGCCACCCACCATAAACACTGTTATTTAATAAATTCTTTCCTGGTTTCAAACCCTATAAGGTCTGCTTGTTTGGGTCCAAATCACACACACCCTGGCTACTTTTAATTGATGAATGAATACCGTTGCAGATTTAAAGTACTGCAGAAAATGTTTTTGAGAATTTTTCTGTCCCAGCTGCATTTAGCGTGTTTCTTCTGTTTGCAGCAATTCCTTGTTTGAGTATGTGGACACGGCAGAGTTTCTGTCCCCTGAACAAAATCAGCATTATGAGTCAATTATTTAAAATACCTTTTAAGACCACTGTATATCCCAATCCTGTGCAAAAGTCTTTAGAGGGCTCTCAAGAGCCTTTGTAAAAGGAAATCTCAAAGTGACAACAAAGAATACAGCTGTTGGAAGTTTCGTTTTCAGTGTGTAAGAGGACAATAGCATCTCCTGCCGTCCCAGCCTCAGCCCTTCTACCTTTTATAATCTTGGAAATGTTCCTTGAAAAAACAATTCATTCCCCCAACGCAGTAAAGGCGTAAGGATGTGTTACTTCATGATGGACTGTGGTGGTTTGTGGAGCCAGACAGTCAAGGACAGTTGCTATAACCTTCTATTTAAAAAGATAATGTAAATACTCAGGAAAACAATAAGTATCTCAGTACTGTACTTGAATACAATAGCTGAGTAAATGTTCTTTGCATCACTATTCATGTACTCTGTCGTTTCATTTTGTCTACACTGTGTGTACAGCCCAAGTTAAATCTTTAACTTTACACATTTATAATTTTTTATTTATTCAAATACTGTACAAACACTTGTGCTTCATTTGAGCAATCCCATTTTATGCTCATTTATACTTCACTGCATTTCAGAGGGAATGCATCTACTTCTTACCTTTTAAGAACACTTTGTAAAATTTTAATCTTTGTCTTCAAAGTGAGCTGAAACAACTGAAGACAAAATGGCATAGCTGCTGGGATGTGACTTTACATGGTCAGAACTCTTTAATGCTTGGCTTAGAAATTCAGATGAACAGTTTTACAGGGTTCCTTCAAAAAGGCAGACGAGTATATTGGCTCTGTGTGTCAGTAAAACACGCTCCAGAGGGAAGCTCAAGGTTAGATGTGCTAAATAAAACAAAGTTTGACATCTCAAAGTGATATGGGTCCACCAGATGGTCCGATATGTTTTCCATTTCACAGTGATGAATTTCAGCTGGCCTTGGTTTCCTCAGTAAATGGTACACTGGGTCATATAGCTGTGTGCTGGAAACTCTGAGTGTTGTAGGGTTTTTCTGTGAGTGTCACCTTTTGCTTATGGGCACTGCCTCTAACCTCTGAGTTCTTACCATACACACTTCAGTTTAAGCAGGAGCCCAAAACATTGTTTCTTGGTGTTAAGTAACAGTATTATAGTTCCCTCAGGAGTTTTACAGAGGATCACAACAAAGCTCAAGTCCTTCCCCTCCCCTTCAGCCAACTCTGA